CTCTCTCACATCGCATCTGAGTACCCGCACAGTGACAAATCCACAACGTCAGTGGGGAAGGATGGTCAGGGAACTGGGGGAGTAGGGTCGGCGCAAGGGCCAGGAGGAACGGCACAGTGAGGGAGGAGGGTGGGTGTGGTGGTTGGGTGCAGTAGCGGGGGAGTGTGGACGCAGTTGGGCTGGCGAAGTGGGGCGGAAGGGGGTAGGTGCAGTGGGGAGGATGGTGGATGCCATGGCTGGGCGCAGTGGGGGAGCAGGGTGAACGCTGTGGCTGGGCGCGATGGGGGAGGCGAGTGGGCGCAGTTGGGAAGGAGGGCGGATGCAGTTGGGGAGGAGGGTGATGGCGGTATAGCAGGAGCGGAAAAGTGGAAGTGGGAGCGCCACGCGGCGGAGAAGGGGAAGGGGAGGGGGAGGGGGATATGGGCGCCGCAGGGGGAGAGAGAGAGAGAGAGAGAGAGAGAGAGAGAGAGAGAGAGAGAGAGAGATCGTGAGAGTGTAGATGTGTATAAGAGACAGCATACGCCGCATATGTTTTGTCTTTTGTGCTGGTGACGAGCGGAGCAAGGCCCTTAGGGCCACTGCTCGTAGGAAAATGAAACGAAAGAAAGAGGAGCTACGGTAGTAAGTAGTTGTAACTTGTAACCCATAACTGCGCAAAAGCAGACCTGACTTCAGATCCAGAACATATATTGCTGGCCTGCTCTTCTTTTATACGAAATTTGCTGAACATCTCTTGAGATGTTGGGACCCTTGCATATGTACTGCTGGGGTCCTCCGCGAAAAAGACTATTCAACAAGGAATACGTGGGCCCTATTTTTTTTTCTGTGGGGAGGTGCACCATTGCCTTCTCCAATTTTTTTTTTATATCCTATTTAGTGGGGTGAGTCGCATCACGTGCGCGTGCATGCTTACACGTGCGTTATGCGCCGCACGTGCAGAGCTCGAGCGCACGCGATACGCCGCAGGTATGGGTTGGAGTATAGGCGGAGTATAGGGGTGATATTAGGGGATATTGGGGGGGTTAATAAGGATGTTGGGGGCGGTTCGGGAGTGTTAGGTTGGTGTATGCGGGTATTGGGGGCCGCTATGGGGGTGTGGGTGGGGTTATTAGGGGTTCTGGATCCCAAAAACAAACAAAAAAAAAAGTGCGGGGTGCCGATGATCCCCGACTGCTAGGTGCCGACCAGCCGATCGGTCGGCGGGTCGGCCGCCGACCAGTCAAGGGCCGCCGACCGTCGGGGTGTGCAGGTAGAGTTGCACAAAACTCAGGTACAAGGCTTCGCCCAATTGGTGTGCTGCAGCAAGAGGTGCCCGCACCACCGTCTTCCTCCATAACAGCACACTTGCACACTAACTATGTCACTACATATATAACAATCGCTATTTCACAGTGTGTGACCAGCAGCCAATATGGGGCCTTCGTTTCCTTGGCACCGGACGGTCCAGATTGGCTGCTGATCGTTTTCAATGTCATCAACTCGCGATCTGCACCATCGGAGCCGTTCTACCGCACGGCCCAGATTGCGTGTTGATCGTTTTCTGGCCGGTAGCTGGGCCGGTAGGCCCTGCGCAAATTTGCACGCCCCAGGCTCCGGTACTGCCACACGGCACCAGTGCAAATTCACACTCCCGCGTAGTGCCGCGCTGGGGTTGAAACAAACTTTTTTCTGGAAGGCGGCCGCAAATTTGCACTCCCCAGGCCCCCGTAGTGCGGCGCGCAGCAGCAGCGCAAATTTGCACTCCCCAGGCCACGGTAGTGCCGCGCAGGGCCACATGTAACAAACTTTTTCGGGGGAGGCGGCCAAACGGCCAATTTTGCTGGATGCTGCCTACACGCACGACTTTGACCCTAATCTACGCTGCGCTCGAGTTCGACTCCTATGCCCAACTTTGACTCCCTACGCTTGCGCTTGACCTCGACTATCTATGCTCACCTTTGCTACTCTCTCTCTCTCTCTCTCTCTCTCTCTCTCTCTCTCTCTCTCTCTCTCTCTCTCTCTCTCTCTCTCTCTCTCTCTCTCTC